ATATTTTGTCCAGTAGTCTATAAGGTGATAAAAGGTATAACTTTACATGACACACAGGATTCCAAACTCACAGAGATTTGCGCAGAGCAACAAGTATAAATTCACCTGGTCCAAATGTGTGGATACACTGGTTGGTCACTTTATGTATCCTCTTGGCTTGCGCAAGTTACAGGTTGCAATGCGAGCGTTACAATGCGTCCTCTAGTCATTCTTTAAATATTGTTAACCTACGAGCAAAAATAACGTATGCGGGGTTTTACATTGCTGGCACAATGGAAGGAAGAATAAACTTCGTTGACATTCCAACCAGCTATACTGCTTGGCAAACTTTACATGATGACCTCTCAGGCTGCTGTTGTGACTGAGTTCCGGGAGCAGACCTCCACATTCTTGCTGGAACGATTATGAAATCATTGTTAGTCTAAGTCCGAGAACCGAGTACTGGAGCGTGCAGCTTTCAATTTCAAATGTCTCGGACAAGGAGCTCCGTATTTCTACCTCCAAGCGATGGGCACATGAATAATTATCTATCCAACTCAGGACAGGGTCACCAGTGCCATAGTTCTAGTGTTTGTGGAACATCGTTTGTTGCTCTAAACGGCCAAACGTTTTCGAGAAGCCCAGGTACATTATGTTGACTTTCACTCTATCGTCAACTTATTCGATTCAAATGCTGCTTGAAGGTAATAGGTTTGTGATATACGAGCAATGTTGACGGAAGCCATACCGTTTCTGTGCTATGATGCTGTAGCTATCTTGGTGATGACGGGGCCTTTAAATCGGCCGTTGCCTTTTCGTTTAACACCATTTTTACTTTATCGACTGCTGAGTTATCAGTTTTGTTAGGATCTTTTAACTAGCTTTTTTTGCCCAACCCGCTTCCAAGGTCAGGAAGACCGTCTTACTCTCCATATTTTGAATACTTGGTCCACATACCGCACAAGATTCACGAATTGTTGTTTTCGGCCAAGTATGAAGAAATGTCTTGGTAAAAAGCTACTCCATCAGCTGGGAAATATCCCGAGGATTTTTATTAAGGTGTGCTCATTACTCAATAATGCGAATCCTTTTACTCGAGTGAAACTAGTGCACCTTTTTACTTTTACTTTATCCATTCTAACATTTTGTATTTTTGATAATATCAATGTAATTCATCTGAAGTTGATTTGTACAGTGCTGAAAGTGCACTCATCCGAGTACATAAAGTTTGTCTTGACTTGTAATATATCATTGCGTCTGAAGTACTTTATTCCATAGGTTTAACAAACAGAGAAGGTACCGTTGCCGGGTGGCATTTTGCTGAGTCACATCGACCATTTCCCTTGTAAGTAGGAGTGATGGCCCCTTGTTTCCACAGCGATGGAAGTTTATTCTGCTCTAAAAATCGCTGACTTCACCTGGACAATCTGCCTGCAGACGTTTCCCCACCCTTCGAGGTGACAACTTGAATGAGGAGTAGTGGTCATTATGCTGGTAGGCAGGAAGCTTCGAGTAGCCTCGAATTTCAGTCATGAGGAGACAGTCTAGTAAGCAAGCTCGTTTTCGGTGATTCATCCTCTGGACAAATTTAACAGTCATAAAATTAAGAAGGTTGGATTGAGTAATTAGAAAATGGAGGTGTCAGTATGAGCATAATGCATTTACTCAAGGCTCTTTGCCTACCAGCAAGCTTACTTCTAGTCCCCACTACAGATGTTAGCTCGGTTGTGACGAAACGTCTGCAAATCGAGTGCCCCGCTAGACGAACATACCAACACATCAACACTTAATCCGAACTATCCGCATTTCAACGTATTGAGGTGGAATTCACCGCGGGAAGATATGTGTGCCCAATGAAAGTATTTGCACGTAGTTCCATAGACTGCTACTACATGCAAGCGCCGAGAAAATGATTAGCTGTCACACGGTATACGATATCCGCCATCACACCTGCTCTTCTAAACTCGTCGATGACCTTGACTCCTTTAGACGAATCTCATGCGCTACTTAACCTCGACGAGACTGTGTGACCCAGAGGTCATTAGTCGATATCAGAAAACTCAGTAAAGGAAGGTGAGCACATCAACATAACACCACCGGGTAACGAACAGGCGGTAGCAAGTAAATCCACGTAGTGAACCGAACATATTTTCAACATAAAACGACAGTTATCTCAGAACCTACGGGATCGGTCTAGTTTGATTGTATCCGGAGCAGGTGCGACGATTATGAGACCCCTTCCTGCTGTTGGCAGTTTATTATCAAGGTTGTTGGTCGAATCATTATATGGCCTTCCTGACACGGAAGTGCTAACGATTCACTAGTGTTTCGGGAAAACACTGAGAACTCTGGCGGGTATCACTTAAAGAGGAATTCGCAAGGTGACTCATCAATTTGGAAAAGTCCGGAGGTGATGGTGACCAATTAGCAGTAGCTGGATGCAACCCATCTGAGTAGCCATATGTGATTAACAAATACCCTTCAGTCCCAAGTGGATTTTCGGTAAAATATGACACAACACAGCCAGCTGTGTCCTTTACACCTCACAGCTAGAGCCAACCCGTTAAGCGTCTGGACTATTGCCCTTCCTCTGGCATGCCAAGAAATGAATAACTCTGTTGTCCAGAAACGTGTGAGTGCAGGTGGTGGAACATGTTGTCGCTTTGTATCTGTCTGAGGTTCCTCCCCGTGCACATGGATCGTGCTATACAGTCCTGACTACTTTACGGTGACATAACATAAGATCAACGCTGTCTCTGAGATCTACTACAAAGCATAGATGTATTGATTCCACCGGTGTGAAGATGGTGAATGATTCTCGTTGGTCATCACATTGACATCCTACTTGTGGATGAGCCAATAAGCAGCCAGCTATGTGGTGCATGGAACTCGCTCGCACCAGACGTTGTAAGCATGTAACAATCTTTACCTTGATAGTTAACGCTGTGGTTGTGCCCGTGAATGAGACTTGGTAAGAGTGAACAGGATATCGGGAGCCACTGAACAAACGGGCGATGGGGCTTGTCCATAGTTATGTGGCACAGTTTCGGGAAGTTCATTCATTTTAACGTACGCGGACTGAGCTGAACAACAACCGTGATCGATAAAGAGCGCAGAGCAGTTCAGGCTCAACAGGCTCGTGTTTCGTTAAGTGATTGTGGAAGCACACAGCCATTTTCTCGTGCATGGGCCCCAAAGAACTAGGTAGCAAAGAAGCTGATGTAGCGTTTAATAAGCCGGAGTTGGTGTGATAATTAGGGTTCAGTATCTCCCGGTAAGCGTAGTTATGGTTTCCCAAAATCCACATTTCAACCTCATATTTAACCTGCGCGCTTATCGTGGGCAAGTAATCATCATCATACACGTTAGCCAGAGGTGGGGAGCACCTCAGCTACTGTGCCGCAATACATAGGAGAAAAAAGAGAAGAAAAAGCAACTGGTGCAAGCCAGCTGAGCTACCGGTAACGGATGGACATCGTTCCGATAAGCTACCAGCCGGCTACTGTGCATCAAAAAAAATTACAAGGCAAAATTATATAAAGCTAAATAGTGAGATCGTGGTTGGATGGGGAGGCTAAAAAAGATTTCTGGGACAAAGAAACAGCACCAACGCCACCGAGGTACGCTCCTTGCCATGTCAGCAAGTGTGTCCAACCAAACGTGTTCCTCATCTTTCGGACCACAACCAGGGAGTCGAGAGGCTCCAACCAAGGCCAGCTCAGAAGTGAGGGCCTTCATTCCTCTCGACCAAGTCATCGCTTGGCCACCCCTCCTCTTCTTCCATCCACACCCCCGGCGCGCAAACAACGTACGTCTCGGGAGTCGGTGGGCTGGCATGCGTAACACGTGGTCGAGCCATCGGAGCCTTGTGTGTCAAATAACAGCGCTGAGCGTTTCATTTACTTTTACTGTGCCGTAAACAAGGTGTCGAACACGCTCGTTGCTTACTCGGTGTTCCCACCAGATGTGCGGTAAATTACGAAGGCACCGGTGGTCGAACGTAACTAGCCTCCTTAAGTCCGTTGATCTAAAGGGCCAGGTTTCACAACCGTACAGTAGGGTCGAACGTACCGCTGCACTGTTCACTCTACCCTTCAGGGCGAGAGTGATGTCGCGCCCACACCATAAGTGGCGAAGGTTAGCAAAAGCGCCTCGAGCCTTTGATATACGGTTCGTGGTCTCATCTTCAATCCCATGGGCGCTGATACAACTTCCCAGGTAGTTGAACGTTTGAACGCCTTCTAGCTGATGGCCACCAAGGACCAATGCACGAGGCGGTCCAGGCCAATCTTGGAGAAACGCTTCGCATTTCGAGGGTGCGAAGCTAAGCCCGAAGCGAATGATAGCCAGTGCTAAGCTGTCCAGTGCCGCTTGGCACATTTGTGAGCTGCCACAGATTAGGGCAATTTCGTCAGCATATTCCAAGTCAAGAAGTCCTTCTTCTGGGAGCAGATCCACACCTTCTTAGTCGTGTCCTTTAAATGTGATTTCCATGACTTCGTCAATAGCGAGGTTGAACAGGAAAGGTGACAGCGGCATCCTTGTCTCACACAGCTGGAGATAGTAAAAGGCGACGACAGCTTGCCGTAAGCCTTCACTCTGCCTGTGCTACACGCGGATAATGCTCGGATAATATTTACATATTTCTCAGGCACACCTTTCCTTAGTAGACAGTCCCAAAGTGCAAGTCTATCCACAGAATCGAATGCACCTTTGGTATCGAGGAGCAAAACAACGGTTGGCCGCCAATATATGTGACGGTGCTCCAACAACTGATGTAAGGTGAAGATGTGGTCGATGCTGCCACGACTTGGACGAAACAGGGCTTGCTCTTCACGAATCTGGTTTCATGAGTGTCAGTCAGTCTGTGAAGGATGACAGAGGCAAGCAAATTGGAGGCGATGGAGATCAGACTGCTTCCTCTTTGGTTGCCGCATTCTGATGTGAGCCTCCCTTGAAAATTGCTACTATGACGGAGCGACTCCAGTCGGTTGGGACAGTTTCCTGCTCCCACAGTTTGACTAGTAACTCGTGTAAATCATCCACAAGAGCAGGTCCCCCAAACGTGAAGAGGGCTGGAAGAAGATCACAGGTCCCGCGGCTTTATTTGACTTCAACAGTCCAATCTCACGTTCGGCTTCTGGGCCAGAGAGTGGATCCAAAGGGACAGCCCACGGAGCGGGGCGATCAGTGGCCGGCGAGAAATCAAACAATTCCAACCGATTAAATTGCCTTGCAAAGTGCTCAGCCCAACGCTCCAAGTGTTTTGACAAGTTGCAGATAGGCTGTCCACTCACGTCACATATACTTTCACTAACCCCAGGTCTCCTGCTGCCAGTTTCCCGTATCAGACAGAATAACTTATCATGGTTACAAAGGGCAGCGGCCATTTCCATCTCTGAAGCAAAATGAAGCAACCAGGATTCGCGGTCTCTCTTCAGGCTAGCACGGAGTTTTGCCCGGAGCTCTTTGCGAGTTTCATTGTGTTCGCTTCCAGCCGGAATATGCCGGCGAGCATCTACAAGTTCCAGAGACTGTGAAGAGACCCAAAATCCATGTTGGTGATTAGACATACCACATGAGGATTTTCCTGCTGCTAGTAAGGTTTGGTGAACATGAGACCAGTGAGCTTCAATTGCACCCAGTGAGCGTTTATCCAACTCGCATGACAGCCTACTTTGATAGGCATTCAGAACAGCTGGCTTCGCCAGTTGGCTGGTGTCAATGCGGTCACAACGGCATCGTAGGCGTCCGCCAAAACGCAATCGCATGTCAGCACATACAACTGCATGATCGGTGTCCACACCTGTGCTCCAAATAGAGCGACAGTTATGGACGTAGCCTCTCCATCGGTAACTTATCGCAATGTGATCGATTTGCGTCCATAGCTGCTTGTAGGCTGGTGGGCGCCAACTCACTCTCCGGCGGGTGCTGTGTCTGAAGTTAGTGCTCGCACACATGAAGTAACCGCTCACCGTTATCATTATGAGAGCCTATACCATTTTGGCCGCCCAGATGCAGTTGCTCAGTGGATAATATTCCAACTTGAGCGTTCAGATCCCCAGCCAGCACAACAGTGTCCGATCTTCTTCTGTGGCGAAAAAGCTCGTTCAGCTGACGATAGAAATCGTCTTTTACCGAGTCATCGCTACAGTTTGTGCGTACAGTCAGCAATGACGAATAAATACCTGTCAGTCCCACGCGACTTCGAAGTTTTGAACAAGCCAGCCAATCGGACCGCACACATCCGGCTACTGATTGGAATCCAATCAACCAGAGCAGGTTCAGCTCGGGGACTCAGAGCAATACCAACACCAGCTTGGCCGGTGCTCGAAGCTGCGTCGTCACCGGATAGGCGCAATGAGAAGATGCTGCTAGTGTCACCTGAAGGGGATCGTAGAGTGAGTACAGAGCTCGAGTCTTTCAGGCGGGTCTCCGATAAGCAGAAGATATCGATCGAGAGGGTCTCTAATGTTCGGGCAAGTGCTACCTGTTGACCGATCTGTAGCAATGTGCGTACGTTGAGGCATTCTTATCTGAAGAAGGATCGAGGGCTCCAAATGGAAGCCGATGAACTGGAATGGACCGCTTGGTAGTACATGGGCTTGTGGACAGTGCAGGAATGACGTTCCGCGTTCACATGTGAGTTGAATCTAAAAGATAAGCGACTATTGAAGCAAGGTGAGGGAGAGCCGAGAATTGGGGGTTGAAAACAAGGGGATAAAAGTGAAGCTGGAACAGGACGATAAAGGTGAAAAAGCCTAAGAGGGGGAATAAGAAGACGGGAGGGCTTGAGCAGTAGCATCCAAACTCCTATCCACCCTACTCGATGCAACAGATAGGGCACCATTGATTATACTCTGCGGTGGCCAGAGCATCAGAAATTTGTTTGAAGTGAGATTCATGGTATTGCGTGGGCAGGATATTGTCAGGTTGCCCGGGCCTAAACAGCAGAACGATTAGGGTTCTCAACCAAAGCTTTTGGTCCAAAAACCTGACCGCAAGGCAGCGGGTTTGGCATTGCGCTACAAAAAGTCTGTTTTAAGGAATAAGGTGCCACACTCATTCCAAGCCCCAAACTGGAGGGCCAGGAGGCTGAGTTTGTCTGGCCTCTAACCATTGACGAATCTGGTATGAGTGACTGAATGTGCAAAAATGCACCACCCAGTATAGCTCAATGGATCACTGAGGCACACAAACCATCGCACCACAGTAAAGTTCAGCCTCATTGCGACGGATCGTGAGCAAGTAAAGCCGCTCCGACCGAACTTGGTTCTTCTAACGTACCAGTGAACAAGATTCTACAATAATTAGAACTGTCCATCAAGCCTTCATCTGTCACCAGTGTGGGAAGCCGAAACATACGACGTAGCACCCACAACTAGTAAATGTCCCAGGATCTATCCAGGAGCCCATTTTACATTTTACTTGAATGTATCTACAAATTACTGAATTCGTCAACCAAGAATGTTGCCCTTATCAGTTCAGCTTTCGAATTTGTATCTATGCTACACAGACAAAAACAATTGCAGATTACTTCAACCTACCAAAGATACATTGATATTCCCAGTCCTCCTCTACTATACGCAGTCTTCATTTGTTCTGTCAGACTTGGCCACTGAAGCAACTAGGTCGAGTAATACATTAGACTTGATATTTACATTGGGTATGGCCATTGCAACTACAGACAACGCAGACAATCTTTCTGGCAGCAACCGCAACCTGATATGCCTCATCTTCAGCGTTGAAGTGGCCACTAAACATGTTTCTCTTCCCCGTTGCGCAATCCACAAGATAAACTGGAAACACTTCCGGGAACTAATCCGATGTTCTGATTGGGATACATTCTTCATTTCCTACAATGCTTACGCAGCGGTTGAGTACTTCTACCATGTGGGTCATCAAGCCACAACTATCCTTGCTCCACAAGACAAGCGGGTCACTCATGTACAAAATGATGCAGCTGAACGTTTAATCAGTCAGAATTTCAGCAAACTGATGACGCTACAACAAAAGACAGAAGATTTTACATTGATCTTGCAGATAGACCGGTTCATCGCTGAATGCAAGCGCACACAGATGAAGCGGTGAATACATACCTACATTTATGGATCCCTATATATGAAAATCCTATTATACTATTGCACATCTCTTGATTAATTGTTGTACTGTTACTATGAGCATGCCTTTAGCAGCATGTCTGGCGTAGCCGAGAATAAAAAGTTATTTATTTCTTTCTTTCTTTTTTTATTTATAAAGGGTAGACGACCCTACGAATGACATGCAAAGTAAAAGAGTTTGTCAAAATTCTGCATCATAGAACCAAAAACTGCTCCTCGCTGATCATTGAAATGACCGACGAGGAAGGTCAAGCGGTTCAAGACCAAGTCACCATCTGTGAAGCATTTATTTCGTTCATTGCCAACCACGAAGCTGGAGACTCCCCCAAATAAATGTCTCCGAAGACTAAAGTATCACTTGATACTGATGTACAATCTGATTCTTGGTAATCCTTATTAGGTAAAGCCTCTAGCTTGAACTATCGAGAGTGGTGCCAGCAACTCCATATGCATTCGCTTTGGCTACGAAGACTAAAATATCACTTAATACTGGTGTACAATCTGAGTCATGGCAATGCCTAATGCATTCTGGTCGCATTAACACTGCAGCAGTGTTCCACACGAGACCATCGTAGCAAAGACTTTACCCTGCTTATACCAGGATGCCGGAAAAATGTGCGGCTTAACTTCTTTCTAACTGGATATGTTGCTCGGTGGAATCGGCTCCCAAGCGTAATCAGGTCACGTGAGACTTTGCGATCATTTTGCAGTAAGCTGGGAATCTACCTAGACCCGGACACGAGTATGACCTTTGTGGGACTAGTAAATACTAGTCCGAAACGGTGCGCGAAAGTAAGCGCGGCTATCAGAAGACAATTGGAGTCGGACACAGCGGACTGTCTTCGATGGGCTACAAGAAGACGCGGGCGGATGAAGCAAGACAGGAGGTACACGTTAGCGAGGGAACTTACAAGCCGGTCGAGTGTCGAGCCGCATGTAGGTCAACATGGACGTAATGTAAGGGAGATTAAAACAAGAAAGAATAGTGTACAACTGGTCATCAGCGAAACTGTACCCAAAAGATAATAGTTACTTGTGAGTGGAAGGATTTTGGCGAGTATTTTTCTTCGTCGCAATCAGCCGACAATTCAGATTTGTCGACCAGCTATCCGGAAAAGCACCAGACGGCCTTTTCGCCCTATGGGGGCTCATCAGTGGTGCGCATCCTTCGGTCCTCTGCAGAGGATCGAACCTAGGACTGCTAGTGGCTCTTGCCAACCAGCCCGCGGCTTATGCAACTGCGCCATGGAGGACGGTATCCGACCATCACGAATTGTTAGCTAACTGCAATATAGCCCGACCCATCCTCCAATGCCATGCAGGCACCAGCCATGCAAATAACAGCAGTTGGCCTTCCGGCTTCAGGACTTCCCGGTTACGGCAGCTATGAATCGACATAGCATTTTGTGGAATCCGTTTCGCCCCAATAGGGCGAAACGGCCGTCTGGTGCTTTTTCGGATAGCTGGTCGACATACCTGAATTGTTGGCTGATTGCGACTAACAAAAATACTCAATAAAATCCTTCCACTCATAAGTAATACCAATTCGAAATTACGGATTCCACAACATGCTATGTCGATTCATAGCTGCCGTAACTGGGAAGTCCTGAAGCCGGAAGGCCAACTGCTGTTATTTGCATGGCTGGTGCCTGCATGGCATTGGAGGATGGGTCGGGCTATATTGCAGTTAGCTAACAATTCGTGATGGTCGGATACCGTCCTCCATGGCGCAGTTGCATAAGCCGCGGGCTGGTTGGCAAGAGCCACTAGCAGTCCTAGGTTCGATCCTCTGCAGAGGACCGAAGGATGCGCACCACTGATGAGCCCCCATAGGGCGAAAAGGCCGTCTGGTGCTTTTCCGGATAGCTGGTCGACATATCTGAATTGTCGGCTGATTGCGACGAACAAAGGATAGTAGTTATCTTTTGGGGAGCTATACCTTTGTTCGTGAGGGAGATCAATTGTCGATCTGTTTACTGAAGGTGTAGATAACGTCTAATGGGTGAAATACCAACACTTTATACATTGTAAGTATTCAGAAATGCAGCAATACCTTCCACTGTCCAGTAAAACACAAACATGTAAGGCATATACATCACCCGAAGCACAAAGAAGTATAACGACACAGCATCATATCGCCCATGCAAGGGCATTGTATTAACTGTACCTACATATGATCTGTCCTAAATATAGACGTAGTATCGCCCTTGATGAGAAATATACTTATTATTATTACGCTTGGCGGTTCGTAGGCTTTTGCCTCTCCAATATGAGGATATGTACGGGTTCAGAAAGCTGAGTATGTTAGCTGCAAGTACGGCCTTTTCAGGTCTATACGCTTTCCTTTAGATAGTTGTAGGACTTAAGGCGAAAGCGAAGCTGTATAACAGACTACTCCTCGGGTTCATAACTAACGAGTGTTGGTGAAACGATCCGGTTGTATAGAACACACTCGTTTGGAAGACTTTACAACATAAACCTTCTACCTGAGCAGTCTGATGTACGGAATATCCACTAAATCCTCCATGCCACTTTTCAGTGCTTCTATTATAGTGCTTGCTTAGATTAGTGTCCGACTAATAGCGTTCATTCGGAAGAACGGATTCAGCTACTTCGGTGTAAGTCACGAAGCACAAGGCGCTCAATTAGGC